AACCCGGTAGCTTGAGGAAAGTGGAATTCCAGGAATCAAACAGGCTGTCATCTGTCATGATATCTATCAGGCACTCAAGGTAAGGGCCTGCCAGAGATCTCCTTCCTGCCTGTCAAAACCTTGATCATGACCCTATAAGCAGCTAGGGCATCATCACTGGATTGGTGATCCCAAGAGCTAATTCCAATGAGAACAGAAAGTCTAAATTACCTTATTTGACACAAATTAGCTGATCATCTTAAAAGAAAATATAGCTTGGCTTCTTATGCCTGCTGCTCCAGCAATACCAGTCTATTCCATGTTTGACTTCCTTTCAAAGAAGACCCTAGCCATGCTAGCCATTGGTTCTCTGACTTTGTGGGGTGCCTACCCTCCTTCAAGCCCCAACATCAGGATCAGTCAACCCACCATCCTTTCTTTCCTCTCTCCCTTCCCTTCCAGTGAAATACCAAAACTCACCTTTTCCCAAATTCCTCATTTCATGTATATTAGCCTGAAGGATGAAGTGTAACTGTAGTGTTTAGCAAGCTCTAAAGACCTGGTCCCTGGGGCAGATCTTAGGAAGTGAGTTTGCCTCCTGGACTTCAAGTCAGGGGAGGAGAGTCAGTAGATAGAATGTAGCCACTGGCTAGCCTCAACTGACTTTCTGAGGAATACACGGTATGCCATGATGCAGTGGGGACCCACACCTGGGACATCTCCATGGGACTTTCCACAGGACAAATTCAGGGAGTTGTGATTCTGACACTGGTCCTACAGTCAGCCAGATGTGGAATAAGGCAGAGTCCAGGCCAGCCGTACACCTGCTGACCCACTTCCCTGCTAGGCTAAGCATGGCAGCCCCTGCCTGTGGAATCCCAAATCCTGCAGCTGCTTGAAAAGTAGCTGCTGGCATTCCCTTTGACCCGGATAAAGGGATATGAGTTGCAACTGCTTATCACAGCTAGCTTAAGGGAAAGATCTTACCAGGATCCAACAGTCAAGAAAACAATGCTTTGGGCTTACAACTGGGCAGATTCCATTTAAAACTTGTCCTTTCCTCTTCTGGCTCTTTCTTATAACTTGAAAGGCATTCTAAAGCCCCTGCTTACCTAAAACCCAAAGAATTCAGCTCCCATCCTCTGGTCCCTTTTATCTTTTCTTCCAGTCCCCAGCATACTTATTGCTTCTCTGAAAGTCGTCAGAAGGACTTATTTCCGTCACCTAGATGCTGAAGCACTAGGACAGCATTCAGCAGCCAGGAGTGGTGCGGTTGGTAAGGGAGGTAAAGGTAGAGTGGAAGGCCCTTGTGTTGATTTTCGCAGAGGCCTCCACCCAACTCAACCTGCCTTCTTACAGCCCTTGACACTGCCACATATTGTAACCAAAGCCCCAGCTGTAGTCATACTTGGTAAGGGTGAGGAGGCCAGGTATGCACCTCTCCAGGAACCCTCTCCAGGAAGCAGCAAGATGTGAGGAAAGCATTAGCCTTAGAGGCCAGGTCCACCACTAACTGGCTTTGGCCTTCTGACCTCTAAAATGGAACGGAAGCAGATAATGGAGCAACCCATGCCCTCTCTCCTTCAGGATCAACTCAGAAAAGCTTTATTAGGCTTTGACTCGTTGTGTCCTGTCTCCTCTGCTAGCCATGCTCTGGCTTCTTTTCTGGAAGATGCATTTTATCCCCCTCCCTCCCAGTGTAATTCTGTTGCCTCTTTTCCACCAGCAAAGCAAAACCCTCCCCTCTCACATTTCTCTGCCTGCCAGCTCCAAGTGCTACAAGTGCTCCTACATCTCTCATCAAGCTCTGAGGACTTAAGGGTCTGACAGTGAACTCACTCTTCCCCTTGGCCTAGCCAGACTTCCTTGTTTTTTTGTTTTTTTGCTTTCGGAGGCTGAACTCCTCATGCTTGCTAAGCAGTGCTCTACCACTTGTGCAATGACCCAGCCCTTTATGCTTTATTTTTGGATAGGGTTTCTCATTTTTGCCCGGGCTGGCCTTAGACCTCCATCCTCCTGCCTATGCCTTCCCACACAGTACACACCACCACACCTGGCTTATTGGTTGCCATGGGGTCTTGCTAACTTTTTGACCATGTTGAGTGACCTCAAACTGTGACCCTCCTGATCTCTGCCTCCCAAGTAGTTGAGATTACAATCTTGCACCACCATGCCCAGCACCAGGTTATCTTCTTGAATCAGATGTTACAAAGTATTTCACACACACACACCCCAATCCTGCATGGTCAACACTTTTTTTTTGGCACACATGGGAAGCTTTCCATGGCTTGCCCCTTTCTTGTCTTGGTTCTCTTGGGCTAGCCCAGTGCCAAGTCAGAGAATTTCAGCTTTGAAGGCCAGAGAGAAATTTGCCATCCCAGCTCCTGAGGTCTGGGTCATTTCCAGTAAAATCTGCCCCTCCCACCTCAACCCCTGCAGACTTGCTGTCATAAGCTAAGATCTATGAGGCCTACATCAGGCCTGGCTTTGTTTTAAGCTCTAAGTCCGCTGTCAGAGTTGGCTGTCCAAGTCAGAGGTGGTACCAAAGGCCCCAAACTCACCCCTGTCAGGTCAACTATAATGGTGGTTTCAGATTAACACTTGCAAATAAATAGTAAATTCTTTCTCTGAAGGAGAACTTACTTCCTATATTCCTTGGCAGATCCCATCCAAAAATGCCTTCTATGTGCTGTGCACATTGGCATCATATAAACCACTAGAACAACAACAAAAAAAAGGTATGCCAACAACAGCAAACACTTCTGTGCTTTCTAGATATTGGCTACTGTTCTAAGCTATACACACGTGCGCACGAGCACACACACACAGATAGATTAGTATAATTTTTTTTTATATTACATATCAAACATATATAGCTACTATGTGCGTATATATGGCATACATATACTCATTAGATCCTTTGGACAACTCAGGCACTCTTGTCTCAATTTATAGAGGAGATTGAGGCTCTAAGCAGTTGTACACTTGTCAAAGATCTCGGCTCACCAACTGGTTCTGATGGGCACTATGAAGAGATGTCTCAAGAATGAGAACACAGCTGAGTGTGGTGGTGCAGGTCTGCAATCCCAGCACTTGGGAGATGGAGGCTGGAGGATCGTGAGTTTGAGGCCAGCCTGGAATACATAGTGAGACCTTGTCTAAACCAAATCAAACCAAACCAAAAACCAAAAAAAGCAACCCAAGGCCTGGGGTATAGCTCAGTAGTAGAGTGCTTGCTTGGCATGAGTGAGGCCCTGGGTTCAATCCCCAGAACTAAAAAAAGAACTCACCAGAGTGGGTTCTACAGACATGTACATACAGGTGCTAGAATGGAAGAAATCACACCTTAGATTTAATGGGATTCTGTTTCAGTTCCCAAGAGCATGGGTAGCTTGCTCAAGACTCAGACAGCTACATCATCAAAGATCCAGCATAGAATCTACCTCTTGCCAGTTCTAAGCTACTTCTACTCATAGATCTGCTTAAGGAGGGAGTTGGAGAGTCTTGAAATGTTAGAAAACATTGACTCTTAAGAAAGTGAAATAAAAAAAAAAAAGTGAAATAAAGAAGTAGGACAGGTCCTAAATCCAGTCACTAACCAGTCTAGGAATAGTCCAAGTAGTGAGATGTTACCTATGAAAACCTATGCGAATTACTAATAGCCACACATTCTTCTGTTTTAGGTGCATGTTTAAGCAAGCTCATGTTCTGGTCACAATACAGTCTTTTTTTTTTTTTTTTAATGCATTCTAGCAAAATTAGGGTTTACACTTGGTGATTTCGGCTGGAGTTTTCCTTTTGTGGTACTGAGGATCAAACCCAAGGATTCACACATTCTAGCTAGCTCTATTAGTGAGCTACCTCCCCAAGCTGGTTGGAGAAATCTTGATGACTATGTGTTTCTAAGGCGAATCCCAAGGCATGCTGAGTGCTAGCTGTAGGATCCAGGAAGCTGCTGAGCCCACCTAGCACTTCATTTCTTCACTGCAGTCTTCCTCTCCCCCTTCCCTAATATGTGCCATCTAATTTCCCTACACCACAAGACTTTTCTGCCCAAGGATTCTGCGTGGATAATAGGGTATCTTAGCATTTTCTTGTCTTTCCCTAGGGTACTAAAAGAAGCAGATAAGGGAGAGGAAGCTAGCATTCCGTAGTTCAGCTGGAATCATCCATGAGCTCATGGCTTTGGGCCCACGAAAGAAGCCATTTTCTAACTTCAGCAATTTGAAACACTAGATATCCCACTTAGTCCTTACAATAGGTCAAGCTCAAGTAAACCCTGTTGTGAGATCAATGAACTTTTCCTGCTTATTCCTGGTGGCAGGGCCATGGAAGCTTATTTTTGCCTCTAAGCTTTCATCCTGAGAAGCATCATACCAACCTTTGTACTGACAATGAAGTATAATTAAGAGTAAACATGGGTCAGAGTCTCAGTTATACTTTCATATAAGCAGCAATGGTTCTTTGAAAAAATTCAAAATTCCTTTTAATTTGCTTAATTTGTGTTATTTGAGTGCTCAAGACAAATGGAGCACTCTGACTAGAGAATCTCACCTGAGAGAACCATACAGCTATCCAAGCCATCATCCTGCCAGGGATGGTAGCATCCCAGCACTCAGGAGACTGAGGTGGGAGGATGGCAAGTTCCAGGGTAATCTACATAGCACAGCTGTTTTACCTTACTTCAAAGATGAAACAAAATTAAAACAAGTGACAACCCCCCCCGCCCCCCCCCCCAAAAAATAAGGGGGCAAGTCTAGGACTTACTGCACCTTACTTCACTGTGGTGTTTCTCCCTGGCACCTAGCCTTGGCTCAGGTCATAAAAGAAGGACATCCTTCCTTTGAAGTGTGTTTTCCTTACAAAGTCTTGATTGACAAAAACTTTTTTCAGTTAACTGTAGGAGGCAGCTTTACAGGCAGGATATGAGTTTTGCTTTTTTTTCCCCTCTCCCCTTTTAAGGAAAAAAAATTGCTGGGTGTGGTAGCATGTGGCATATGTCTGTAATTCTAGTACTCAGGAGTCACAGGCAGGAGGATCTGGAATTCAAGGTCAGCCTGGGCTATATAGCAAGACCCTATTTCAAAAAAAAGAAAAAATTTGTACTCCACACCTGGGACAAGCCAGGAAAAGCAATTTGATATTTGAAAACATTTGTTCCTTAAGTTCTAGGATCTCCCTATTCTTAGTCCCTGTAAGCCTAGTAAAAGAGATCAGGTAGATGCCACCTCCTTACTATACCTTTTGTTGTCAGATATGACCTTTGTCCCAATACCTGACTATTGTCATAGATATGGAGTTTGTCTGCTAGTCTTCAGCTTGGCTTTGAATCAAATTTCCAATGGGCAAGAATTAAAACCACAATGAAGAAAAGGAGAAGGGGTGTCTAAGCAACGCAGTCTTCCCCAGAAGAGAAAAGGAGGACGGGAGGAGTAAATAACAGGTTTATTTGCATATACACAAGAGAATAGTCAGCATTGCTGGGTGAGGAGAGGCAGGGCTGTGAGGAGGTAAGGCTTTAGCAGAGGAAGGCACCTTGACAGACAACAAGAGACTCTTGGCTTATTAAACCGAGCACAATTGCAAACTTCATTTGCCCCAAGCCAACAACTCATTTAACTTATTTACCTTCTGTCCTCCAGAATCATTTACAAAACCAGGTGGGAGATAAAAGAGAAAGGGTTGTGTATATCTGAACCTGCCACTTAAAACTTTATGTACAGAATGCACAGAAAAACAAAAAAATCCCAAAAGTATAAGAGGTACTTCCAAATAGTTCTTAATCTAATCAGGGCCATCCACCCTGCTAGGAAAAATACCTCTCATGAAAGAATCTGGGTATTAAATATGTTTCCAGAGTTGGGGCATCAATTTCACAAGGGCAAAGGTAAAGGGACCCTGGAAGTAGTTCCTGCCAGGTTTCCAGGACCATGATCACACACACAAAATCTCTGGAAATGAGGGTGAACAGCTAAAACTAACATCCGTTTTCCAGCCTGCTCCAGTGGGGTATTGTTGCATGGGACTGTTTCTAGGTGAGCTGAACCCGTGATGCTGGACAGTCTGTCCCAAGGATGGAAGGCCACCTTCTAAAATGGTCTTTCTTGACTTCTACCGTTATCCCAAATGAACTCTTAACTTTATGAACTTCTCTGTTAAGTACCCAAACCACATAAAGGTTCTTAGCCTGAAAGACCAAGCTCTGCATTTGGGAACTTTAACTACCAATAGCTAGTTCCCAAGGGAATTTTGCTTCTTTTTGTCCAGAAAGATACATGTATTGTTAGAGAAGTCAAAAGAGGCTACCCGCTAACTAGATAAAAATAAAATGTAAGGATTAGGTATGCTGACTAAGAAGGGGAAGAGAAACACACACTGAGTGGTTATATCATTTTTGTATATAAAGGATTAAAAAAATTCCAATTTAATACATTTTGGAAAAGCAAATGTAAAATGACTTGGGCTTATAAAACCAGAATTTACAATTATCTGTGAATAGTCAAAGACAAATTATAGAACCATTTTGATTACAAATTCAAAGTAATCTAATGTTAATTACAGAATTACTGCCCCACTTCCCCAGTAAGAGTCCAACTGTTGAATTATAAACATCCCCACTCTACTGACACTCCTCCACCTCCTGTTAAAACAGTGCTGTCTTACGCCACATCACACATACTAGGCACATCTTTCCTTCAGCAAAGCTTAGCAAGATGTTATCTCCTTTGGGCTCACACCAACCACCTTTATAAATAAACCAGTCCCCAGCTCAGGACTTCATCCATTCTTCAGCCTCCACAGGTGGTCTCCTCTTGGTCCAAGTTCCAGCAGGACAGGTCCTTGTCTAAAAGTAACACTGGGTCAGTGAGGTCACACTAGCCTCACTCCCACTAGGTCCTCCCAACTGCAGTTCTAGCTGTCTAGCACCTTTGCACTCAAGAAAACTATTGCTCTCTTCATTCCTTGCCAGTATTCTGCTTTTAGTGACATCTATACAACACAACATCTGGTCATTCCTTGGTCTTCCTGTCTTATATAACTCTTCATTGTCAACCAAGGACTATAACTAACACAGTGCTGAAAATCTCTTGGTCTTTTCTCAATCCTTATCTACTACCTCAATAGAACTGAGTCTCTTCTGGAACCTGGAGTCAAATCAAAGATCTTCACACTCTCTGCCTAATAGATCTACTTGGTAAGAATCTGTCACTTTGAGATGCCTACTACTTTGCAAAGTTCAGTCAGAACCTTACAACCCAACTGTAAGCCTGAGGGAAGATGCTAGTCCCATCAACTCTGACCAGTGGTTTTGGGTTGAATTAAAAGAATACAGTACCACATTCCACTCTTTATTCCACTTCTTCATTAACACACCTCAAATATCCACTTTAGTAGTTTGAACACAAAGCTCCAGAACTGTCTTTTCCCTTCTTTCTATATGCTTAGACTTCATCACATGGAGCCAAGGAATCACCTGCTGGCCTAAGTTCCTCTTGGGAACTAGCATCTAAATGGCTAAAATGTGCTATCCATACCTAGTCATATTGCCTGGCCTCCATATACTACATATTGCCACACCACTCAGCTTGCAGAGTGCAAGTGATCAGGCATTTATATGCTCTTAAATCTGATCTTAAGTGCAACCTCTCAATAGCATCAAAACACTTCACTTTTAGCATGTCCACATTAAATGCTCAATGAAGTGTTCCTTACAGAAAACATGGAAGATTTCTTTAAGATAGGAACCATGCTCTCCCCTCCAGCACAGCCAGTGGGCTCAAGACCTCTTTTCTGTTCTCCTCTTCATTCCCCCAGCATAAATCTATGACTCTCTTGTAGCAAAATCTGATCTAACAGGTGCTCATCGTTAAGACCATAACTCCTATTGGCATGTGAAAGGTGAGATGGCAAAAATGGCAGATCCGCAGGTTCTTGCTGATGGACAACTAAAAGAACTTGTGAGACAAGGAGCTCGCATACACTGTGCGCACATACACACGAGAACAAGCCAAACGTTGCAACAAGGATTCCCTTTCAAAGAACCTTGCACAGGTGTACTATGCCCCCAATCTCACGAGAGAGGAGCCACTTGGATGTTCCCCCTCTCTTAACACAGCACAAGCCAATGGCTGGCTAGACATTCTGACCCAATGGTGAATGGTGAATACAAGGGAGCAGCAGCAGACACGAAATTTCAGGCCCTGGTTTTATGTGCCTTTAATACTTTTTTTTTTCTCCTTTCCTCTGTGTTCACTAAACAAGAAAAAAAATCGTAAGGCTACTTTTTGTAGCTTTTTGTTTTCCCTTTATATTTGTCATGTTTTTAATTTCTTCTCTGAGGAGGAATTCTCTGAATCTGTGTCTTCCAATTCAACTCGGTGCCTTTTGAGGCCACTGTGGCCATAGACAGCCCTACTGCTATCTGTGGCTGAGGGGTCAGTGGGGTCCTCTTTCGTTCCAGCACTGGGGGCCTCACAGGCCATTTCAGACCCACAACAATCTTTATGCAGGAGAGTCCCTGACAGAGATGAGTTATCATGGTCAGTGTCTGAGCGTCCTGGGGAAGAGTAGGCCACCATCTCCAGTTCTCCAAAGTTCTGCCCATTGTTGTGGGGGTGAGAGGGCCGGGGGTGTAAGCGTCCATTGTTGTGGTTTGCACAGATGGTTTCGAGGCTTCTCTCCTCACTGTCATCAGACTGGGTCCTAGGACAGTTGCCAGACCCGCTGTTGAGAGTAGTACCAGATGACTTGGGGATAGGAGGAGAGGGTGGCTCCTCAGCCCGGCTGCTCAGAACCTTGCTTAGGGCCTTTCCATTCAGCTTCTTGGTTTCAAAAGGGTGTTCTAGAGAGCCTCCACTGTTAGTGTCTTGAGAGGTGCCCTCTGGTACCTCTGCCCAAGGGTGGCTACTGTGTTCAAGGGTTGGGCCACTGCTGGGATTTCTAGCCAAAGTCCCTTCTTTAAAAGCATCCTTGCTGCAGCCTTCAGGGGGCAGGTCCTGGTTCCTCTGGGGCACTGTTGTGTTTAGACAGGCTTCCATACTAGAAGAAGGGGCTGGGTTGTCTTTGTGGCTGGTTCCTGCTCTCCCTTCATCTGCCTCTCCTGTCACTAGGGAGGTCTCTCCATCTTTGTTATTCGAGTAGGAGATATAGGAGTAGCGGAGCCATTTATAAGCTTTATAAATCTTTCGCTCAACGGATTCTATGTCAGAAGCTGGTGATGCCCGGCTTGGTTGAATCTCCAGAGTAGAAGTGCTCCGCTCAGGCGAGGAGGTGGGGGAGGAGGAGAGGTCATCCACTTTGATCTGGGGGTAATCATAGTTGTCTTCACCAATGTAGGTATTGGTAGGCTTGATTGGGGCACTGGGCCTCTCTTCTCGGGGTGTCTTCTGTCGTCGTCGCATGGCATTCCGTTGCCGGGTGGAGGCTCGGCGTTCATTTAGTTCCTCTTCATCCTCTGAGCTGCTGGAGCTACTGGAACTGCTGGATTCATCTTCAGGGCTGGGTGACCGTGGCCGGGGGAAGAGATCTGTGTCCAGTTCAACCTCACAGGCGTTTTCTTCAGAATCAGATTCATTGGACAAGGCCAGGAGGCGTTTGTCCTGGTAGCGCCGCAGAGCAGACAGGCGTTGCTGGCGAGAGGCTGCATCCTCACATGTGGGTGTTGGCGGGGCTGGTGCCACTGTATTTGTGGTGGTGACCCGCAGGGGCCCCAGGTGGAAGGCATTGTCGGCAGACTCATCTACTGTGGGAGGTGGGGAGCGGGGCAGTGAGGCTGAGGATTCTGAATCAGTGTAGCCTGAGCGCTCACTGACTCCTGCATGTAGCTGAAGGATAGTACTCTCACTGAGGTCACTGTCTGAATCAGAGCTCCAGCCCTCAATCTCTCGGCGTACCAGAGAGTCAAAGAAGGCCATCATCCGGGGGTCTTCCTGGACCGATTGGTTAGCGTAATCATGGGACAGGCCACTCCCACTGTTCAGCACAAGACTGATATACTCTTCATGGGTGTATAGGCAGCGGGAATCATCCTCAATCCGACCATCAAGGTCTCCTGTACATCCTGGCTGCTTGTATGGGCTCCAGATCTGCACAGAAGATAAAAAAAACAAAAGCAACTAGGACTGAATGGAAAGTGTTCTAAATCCATAATAATAAAAACCACTAAGTCAGAGCTTCCCCAAATTTTCCCTGTCATTTTAAAGTCACCAACTAAAAACATTTTCTTTGAACTAGCGCCAGTGGCTAACACCTATAACCCTAGCTACTTGGAAGGCTGAGATTGAGGGGACTGTGATTCAAGGCCTGCTTGGGTAAATAATTCTTGAGGATCCCCCCACCTCCAAAATAATCACAGCAAAACGGATTAGAGGTGTGGCTCAAGCAGTAGAGCATCTGCTTTCCAAGCTTGAAACCCTGAGCTCAAACTCCAGTGCACAAGGGGAAAAAAGTGTGTGTGTATTTATATTTATATTTGCCAGATGTAGTGGCACATGCCTAAATATCCCAGAAATTAGAAGCTGAGGTAGGAGGATTTGCAAGTTTGAAGTCAGCCTGGGCTACATAGCAAGATGCTATCCGCAAAAAACCAAAACAAAATACAAAAGTGCTTTACCAGACGGATCATGTGAGTTGCGTATGAAAATGGAGGCTTCCAGAGTCAGAAGTGGGAAAAACCATGGTTTAGGATATAGAATTAGCAGTATGTCAGGAGACGTAGATCCTGTCTCTAGGTCCAGGAAAACCATACCTTGTCTTCCTCGTGATTCCCCTCCATTCAGTTGCCTCTGTTAGTAGTTTGGAAATTATAATCCTATTCTAAGAGGCTGCATGGAAGAAGACTTGAAGATGGGCAGTGTGTTAAAACACTCAGAAGATTAAAGTTGTGCCACAGAGAGGTATCGCTTTTCTAGCAGACAATCCTCTGTGAGAGTTAATATTTTAGCCTATAGCTCCACTTCTCCCCAGCTGCAGTATTTCTGTTTTTAACCAATGAGAATCACTCATTGGAGCTTGATAAGAATAGCCAACTGCCTACACTACAATTCCCTGTTGGACACACAGACTTCAGTTACCCAGAAAACGGGCTTCTTTTACCCAGAGAGCTGTTTGGCTTGATCCCCAACTCTTCTGTTAGTTGCAGGACAGGTAAGACACACTCCCGGAGTGATGACTGCACCTTCATCTCTTAATACCTCTCTACTCCATGGTTAGGGGTATGGGTGGCAGAACTAGGATTCTAACTCAGGTCTATCCAATTCAAAGGCACAACAATTTTACAGGCTGGATAAGTTTGCAAAAATCAAGTTCAAAGTAATTAAGCTGTCATTGCAAGGGAGAATGATTAGCTCCACCTGACTGCCAGACTGGTCCACAGAGCAGTACAGAGAAGCTCAGTTACATCAGCCTGTAGCCATGGCAACTCAATGATAATCTGGCTGATTGTTCTTGCCTGACAGGTTGGTGTCTATCTTTAAATGACATCTAAGCCAGAGAACAGTAGTTCCTCATTCCCCATTCTCCATCAAGTCAAAGTGTGTTTCCTTGAAGCTATCTGTGAATAAATTCACCTCCTTGTGGGAACTTTCCCAAGTCTCATTTCTGCTGTGAATTACTTAGCAATTCCTAGGAAATGGTATCTCTTTGGAGGACGTCTAGTTCAAAAGAGACTGAAGAAACCTAGAGTAGCTTCTCCCCACCATTCCCAACTCAGGTTCATTCTACCTTCAGTTTTGCTCCCTGTCCACAACTCCTCAGGCATTCTACTCTGTCTAGTTTCATAATCGTACCCCCGAGTTTCAAAGAAGTGATTCCCAAACTTTAGAGTGCTCAAGAATCACCTACCGAACAATTACAGTGAAGCACTATTATTCTGGTGGAACTGAGGTTTGAACTCAGGGCTTCACACTTGGAAAGCAATTGCTTGGAAAGCAGGTGCTCTACCACTTGAGCTACACCTTCAGTCCATTTTGCTCTGTTATTTTGGAGATGGGGTCTCCCGAACTAACTGCCTGGGCTGGCCTCGAATTGCAGTCCTCCCAATCTCAGCCTCCCAAGAAGCTAGGATTATAGGCATAAGTCATCAGTGCCCGGCTGAAGCACTACTGTTAAAGATTTGGCCTCAGCCAACAGGAAAAGGGGAACAGGTACTAGAGAAAAGGTGAGATCAAAAAGAATTAACCTAGAAGGTAACACCCACGCACAGGAAATCAATGTGAGTCAATGCCCTGTATAGCTATCCTTATCTCAACCAGCAAAAACCCTTGTTCCTTTCTATTATTGCTTATACTCTCTCTACAACAAAATTAGAGATAAGGGCAAAATAGTTTCTGCTGGGTATTGAGGGGGGGGAGAGGGAGGGGGTGGAGTGGGTGGTAAGGGAGGGGGTGGGGGCAGGGGGGAGAAATGAACCAAGCCTTGTATGCACATATGAATAATAAAAGAAAAAAAAAAGATATTAAACCAAAAAAAAAAAAAATTTGGCCTCAGTAAGTCACAGATAGGTACCAGGACAATGTAGTTTAAAGAAGCACTCAAGAGGTAAATAGAGGTGAGTCAGTTTGAAAAAACACTAGAATATAGCTAGGATAAAATAAGCAGAAAATAAAGGATTTGTCTGAAGAAATTTTCAAATTCTCTGTGAGACTAATGTTTGGGAAACATTTAGACATAATCTCTAAGATATAAGTGATATCTGCAAACAGATGTCTAAGAAAATAGTTTGGTGGCTTAGAAAAGAAGATGAAGTGTCTAAAAGGCAAGTCCCTCAGAATGTTTCTTGAGGTCTTATTCTTAATTCTAAGCCATGTCTCTTATCTCCCCAGTTTAAAAATGTACTTTAATATGAAAATAAATCTACTTGTCCTTCATAGGTCCCAGAATCTGTTAACAGAAGTACAAAATAATAATGGTGAGATGCTGGCCTAACTACTTTGCAAACCAGCTTTAAAGGTTCCAATCTACCCAGCTTCCTCCCTCCACTTTCTCTTCAGGAATGAAAATCATAACATTAAAAGCCAGCTTTTATTTGGGCTCTGGAATGTATTAAGCTGAGGTAGACTGTTCATTCCTGAAACATAGAGTAATGGAACAAATCAGAATCAAGAGGGTGAGTTCCCATTCAAACCTTAGCTAACTGGTGACCTCAGTGAAGCTCAGCTTTTTATCTAAACAGTGAAATTACATGGATCTCATCCAGTCCTAAGATTCAGAGCAAAACAAAATTCCCATTGCAAATGACTAGCCTGAAGGGGCTGACAGTATAGAGCTGCAGGAGCAGGTAGAAGTCACCACTTCTACTTTTGCTTTTGGAAAGCCTCTGTTTCCCACCCGCTGACTAAAGAACAATGAAATGACATAGGCTGTATATCTGAGCACCAACAGACACGGTGTTGTCATTTCTGGTTGGTGATGGAGCCCCACAGACAGAATCTATAGGCCCATCCTCAAAGACTCTTTTCTCTTTTGTGACACTGGGGCTTGAACTCAGTTACTACTTGAGCCAAGCTCCCAACCCTGTCTGCTTTTAGTGATAGGGTCCTATGGTTTTGCCAGGGCCAACCTCGGACTGCGATCCTCCTACCTTCCCCTCCTAAGTAGCTGTGGTTACAGGGTATGCCATCATGTCTATTCCTCAGAGAAACTTTCAAGCATCAGAAGTACTAACTGTCCCTATAATATTGGTCTTTATCCTTAAAGCATCAATTTCAAACATTTGTGAAATTGTTCATTGTTTTTTACCCTGAACATCAACAACTCAAAATCAAAGCAATGAAGAAGACAACTTCCTATTACCTATTAAATGTGGCTGGGCATGCCTCATCATGGAGCAAGGTTCTGAGAAAAGGAGGAGTGCTGAGTAGCTTTCTTCCTAAGCCTAGTGAAGAGTTGGCTTAAGCCAGGTACTGGTGGCTCACGCCTGTAATCCTAGCTAACAGGGAGGGAGAAATCAGGAGGACTGTGATTCAAAGCCAGCCTTGGGCAAATTGTTTGCAATACCCTATCTTGAAAAAAACTATTCACAAAAAAGGGTTGGCAGAGTGGCTCAAGTGGTAAGTGTGCCTGCCTAGCAAGCATGAGGCCCTGAGTTCAAACCCCAATACCGCCAACAAAAGAGTTGGCTCAGGCTGCTTGAGGAAAAGGATGATGTTCATCCTTCTTCAAAAAACCCCAACATTTTCAAACCCCAGTGCTGCCAAAATAAAAACTACACCAGTATTTTCCATAAGCACAATGCCTGGTATAGAGTAGGTGGTGAATACTTGTTGATCCAATGAAATAAATAGCCTTAGCTATTCCTTTACTTGGAATATTTTTCCTGTTTTTCTTTTGTCTTTCCTTTTGAAGTCTTTATCTGCTCTTTAAAATCTAGTTCAAATATTAACCTATACTGCGATTACCCTGGATGAGAAAAATTTCTCCTTCCTCCTTCAGCACTTTATGTCTCTTGGGCATCCACTGCATTTCTCATCTCTCCTACTGACTGGGTAATCAGTTCTTAAGGAGACTTGCTACCTTTCTTCATCTTTATGTTCCCCATGGGGTCTTGCATGAATGGCACACAACAGGTATGTTTCAAATACAGGATGAATAAACAAATCTTTGGCTTAGAGAGAAAAAAACCCCAGAATCTGTGCCATCCCCCACATGTTTTAACTATAAAACTTTTACCAAGTGTGGGCATTCAGGGAGATAGAAGACCTGTTGTAAGCGAGAAAAGGCTGGCTCTGGCAAAAAGAATTCTTCTCCAAGTGAAAAAGGTGACAGGAAAGGATAAATACAGGGAGAAGGCAGACTGAGAGAGAAAAGCAGGTCTCATGCCACACAAGAACATGGTAGGTGAAGTTCTTTGAGTCACTGACCCTTGAGCCACTAATCCTTTTAAAAGCAGCAAGGAGGAAAGTGACATTTATTTTAATAGCAACTGTCAGGGTGGCAAGTCCACACTTAACATATGGGAGACAGACCCAAGGGTGCTGAGACTCAATGGCCTTTCAGGATGATGTAGGCACAGTAATTCCAGTAGATATATGAGGCTAACATTGAACTTGATGTCAACCCTCTCCTTCCTATCTCCCCTCCTACAAATAGCCCAGCCTGGCCTTTGAACTCACTATGTAGCCCAGATTGGCTTCAAACTCTTGCCTCAGACTCCAAAATATTGGGATTACATGTGGGTGCTGCCACGCCTGGCCTACAGTGCTTTTAATGCCATGCCATTCCCAACCAGATGGTAATTGGGGAAGACATCTGTGGAAGAGCAAAGCTGAGAACTCCAGAGCTTTTTGCTTTCCCTGTTACTGTGGTCATCTCTGTAGGACTTAAGTTTCAAATAGCTAAATGTACCTCCTGGTTCCTATGGGAACTTGGGAGCAGTGAGCTCTGTAGCTCAGTCTGGATAACCTCACAGAGAAAACATTTTCTTTTTTTTCTTGAGAACTTGGCTAGTTTCCAACTTATGACCTTTAGGTTAAGGACTTCAGTTGACTAAACAATAACTGGGGAGACTTAGCACAGAAGCATCCCAGAGTGCATAGCCAAATAGGAATTTCTCTTCTAAAGGAGATGCCCAAGGAGAAAGCTCTCTGAGAAAGAGAATGATGTCAACAGGCCTAGACAGGACATGTTATGGTGCCAACTCATTAGTCATAGGCCAAAGGAGAGAAGAAAGCAATGTAAGGAACAGGGTGATTTCAATGACTGCTCAAGTGAAGGACTACTTAGATGATCAAATCAAGCTGCCTGCTGCCTTCCTAGTAGCATGGCAAATGTGGTGGGATAAAGCACAGAGCTCTATGTGAGCTTTACCACTAATTAACTATGTGACCTTGGACTGTTAATTTATAATTTAAATTTCAGCAATTGCAAAAAAAAAAAAAAAAGAAAGAAAAAGTTGGAAAAATGATGTAGGAGTCTCATTCTAGCTCTCTGGGGAAACAAGTACAACCGTGAAAGTCAGACCTGATCCCCAGGACTAACAAAGCTTAAACTGACAAATAAATATTCTATTTCTGATAGCTATCTACTGTCATCAACTTAATTCCAGATAGTTAAAAAAGAAAATTACTAAATCATCACAAATGAGTTTTTACTTTTTCTCTGAAAACTGTCTCAGGTTTTGTCATTTTAAGAAATGAATTAACTTAAACTTTTGTGGGGAGCATCATCTTTCCTTAGTGATCACAGGGTCCTAACGATTCATCATTTTCCCTGAAATCTTATTTCTTCTGATGTAGAAAATGGGTTACTAGCAACTAGAATGTGAGTGATGGGCAGTAGGTTATCTTTCTGTGGACACAGGCTAAGCTGGGCCCCTCTGTTGCAACTATGAAAATATTGCTTGGATGAGGTGAGTTCATTCAACTGACATGCAACTAATGTGCTATATTCACACCCAAGTAGCCTCAATCACAACCACATGCAGTGTTTGATATCTATCTATCTATCTATATCTCCTAAGGCAGCCATGGTTCTGACAATCAGGTAAATCTGTGCCAAATTAGAACAGCGATTAATTCAAAGTGTACAGCAAGTAACTGAAGGGATAGTGACTCTCTTAACCTCCAGGTGAGGGTAAGAAAGTTGAATTCATCATCCTCATTAGGAATGTCATACAACATACAAAGTAGTGTCTAGAAGACACTATGTTTCAAAGCGTGATGACCAGTTTTGAAAATGGTCTGGGGCCATAACCCAAGGCCACAGGGAAACCAGGGGACTTTGGACCAGTAGCCCTCGGAGGTTTAAAGATGGCTCTGAGGTCAACAATTATAGGTTGAGACCTATATGGCCTCCTCCATAAAAATAGCCATGTTTGATAAATAGTTACCTATGTGCATATGTAAAGTGATATTGATAGAATATATATAAAGCATACACATAACCATTTAAGTATGCATATATGTAAAATACAGAAATATATTCATGTACATATGTACTCACTATCTGGAAACCTTTACTATTAGTAAAAGAAAAGCCATTTATGCTTTTCTGTGGAATTGTGTATATACACAAATATATATTTCTAATATACATATATCAATTTATTAATCAACATATTAAAACAGTTCTGAAAGGAGTTTAATTGCTTTTAAAATATCAACTTTTTTCTTTGAGAAAGGGTCTCACTATGTAGTCTAAGTTGCCCTCAAACTTGCTACAAAAGCACAAGCTGGCCATGAATTCACAATCCTCTTGCCTCAGACTCCTGAGTGCTGGGATTACCAGTGTGTGCCACCAAGCCTATCACTCACTGAGAATTTTGATAGATCTTTAGTATGTTTAGATATGAGATCCCACATATACTATATGGAGGACATACACTGTTTTCATTTCTAACTATGAACTGTAATAATTTTTCAGAAAGGACAGAAGTGAAAAGTGCCTCACCTTGATAATCTTTTCCACACCAGAAGAGCAGATCATGTAGGTGTGGGGATTAAATCGGACCTGGTTAACAATGGACCGATGCCCTTTCAGCACCATGAAGGCTCCGTTGACCACCCTGCCAATGCCACCTAGGAAGACAGAAGGAAACAAAAACCAAACTATAAAACAAATGAAAGTCAACAAGTTCCAATAAAGGCACACAAACAGCTATGAACAGGAGCTGAGATTTTTTATTAACTATGCAGAATGCTTAATCTTACAGAGAAAGTTGTGATGGAAAGAGGGATAGACGGATGAGACACCTCTCAGCATATGTGCTCTTATTTAGTTTGCAATCATTGCCCACACTCACCCACTGCAAACTCTATTGTCAATGAAACCAAGCCACTTAAAATATTCCTTAAGTTTTTGATTGCCAAGTTAGAATCCAAGTGTTACCTAAGAAAAAGATAATTGAGCAAAATGAGACAGAACTGCTTGGGACTAGTAAGCTATGAGGGACATGCAAAACCAGAAGCATGTGATGATTTAAATGCACAAAAGACATCTTTGATCCTTTTGTCCTCATTTCTCATGAAGACAGGGAAAGAATAAGGAGGAGGAGGGGGAGGAGCAGAAGGAAGAAGAAGGAAGGAAGAAGAAATCCCATTGGGCAAAATTTGGTTCTCCCCCTAATAGCAGGAAGAACCAAAGATAAAGGATATTTGGATCACTTTCATAATAAGCAGGGCCCAAGTATTAAGAATTTGAGCTAGAAAATGTGTAAGCTGGGCACCAGTGGCTCATGCCTGTAATCCTAGCTACTTGGTTGTCTGAGATCAGGAGGATTGAGGTTTGAGACCAGCCCAGGCTAATACTTTGTGAGACCCCCATCTCTAAAATAACCACAGCAAAATGGACTACAGGTATGACTCAAGTGGTAGAGCCCCAGTTTTGCAAGAGGGAAGCTCTGAGTTCGAGCCCCAGTAACCCCCCAAACACCACCAATAACAAAAAACCCAAACTATGATGTATAAATTAAAATCAACAGCCTACTGGCAGAAAGACTGACTGATTGATTTGGTTCGGCTTTTTGAGACAGGGTCTTACTATGCAGCCTAAGCTGGCCTGAAACTCACTATTTAGCCCATTGGCCTTAAACTTGTGATGATTCTGCCTCAGCTCCTGAGTGCTGGGATTATGGGCATGAACTACTATGCCTGCCATTGTAAAACTATGTTTTAGAAACATCCTGTAAATTATTTTAATTCACAGAATGAGAAAAGTACCAGAATACTGGACATTTTAACAGACTGAAGATGTCATTATTTAGGAACCTGGGAGGTTCAACTCCACTGGTCATGACATCACACTCACACAGACCACATGCAACCAACCAACCTACCTCTGAACACCATTACTTCTTTGCAGTCATCAAGAGCTGAGTACACATAAAGCCAACTATGCCCCAGCTAAGAGGCAAAATGTGACAGATGCAGACACAAACAAATGAGTATTCATTGACTGAATCCATGAATGCCTTCATAGTGCACAGCAGGAACCGGCACTAAGTATCAGTAGGCACAATATCTGCTCCATGTGCCTCCATCCTACATCTAGCTCCACCTTTCTCAAACATTCATTTCAAACATTTCTCCATGTCTCAGTGCCTAAAGGAAAAATGACCTCAATATCCCTTCCCCTCAAATAAACAGTTTCTAGAGATATCTTCTGCTTTTGGCTTCCTGATACAACTTCTCTTTTGCCTCATGGGAAGAGATACCCCTTTATCACCATAGATATCTTTTGTTTATTTTTTTATGACAGCAAAAGGTTTCAGACATACCTATTTGCTCGTTGGTGGTGCCGACAGCTTAGTTGCTTACTCTATTTGGTGGGTGACAAAAGAACTCTTTGTCTAAATATTTTCCCATATATGAGTTTTATTAGTATTTTTATCACACAGGATGGATAATACATTTAAGCTATATATATTACAGCCCAACACCATCAACTTTGCAAATAAACCACAAAGGAAAAGAGACTAGTACATAGGATTAGAGGGTTTTTAATAGAGAAAAAGGATCAGAAAAGGTTAAGCTATGAAGTAAGCTATCACGGTGGGAATCCAAGTGCACTGGGTTTCTAGGGTGGGAGGAGGGCACCATGCCCTGGGCCTAGTCAAAATAAATATAAACTCAAGAAAATTAGAGAAGAAGGAGCCATCAGAATCTATGGAGCTAAAACAGTTGCCTTGATACAGAGATCTAGGAACTCCCGAAGAGTTACTTTGGGTCTATTTCTTTACTAGATAAGGTTGACTTGACCAGTAGCATTCCTGTCCATGCTTCTCCTCTGAATTCTAGTCCTACCCCTACTCCCACATTGGGATGGTCACTAGCAAAAGAAATTTTGGGCTAACACAAGTATCAATCTCTTGTATAATTCTACTGCTTCAGAAAAAATGAATTTAAGTGACTTATCCCAAGTCATGCAGTTAATATAACAGTGGTACAATGCCTATAAGCTTTCCATCATATCAACTGCCTTTAGGGGACAGAAGGGTTTGAACAGAACTGGAGGCTGATAGCTGATTTCTACATCTTTCAGGAAGTTATCAAATAGAGTGGCTTTCTTTTGACATTCTAAATTAAAGGGGAGTGAAAGGATTCTATCCAATTATCCTAAGCACAAGCTCTAGTGTGTCACTAGGGGACATTTCATCACACTCAACACTGAATACTCCATGAAAGTAGAGATGGATCTCTCTTAGTTACAAGGAACAGTACTTCTAGAACCAAGGCACAGCAAATGTAAAGCACAGCAGATGCTCAGCAAATACTAGCTGAGAGTGTAATTTAGAGTAAGTACCCAAAGAAAGTCAAATACAGGGCCTCATATCTTAAAGAATTGGCTACACAGAACTAAAGTCTATTGGCCAAATCAATCTTTCTGTCAGTGGTTACTTGGAACTCTTAAGAATAATAAGGAAGTATCAATGCCAGAAAATTCAGACCATGGAAACACTGTTTCTTTTGCTAGTTTGTCCATTGTGGTCTCATCTGAATTCTCTTCTTGGCAACATTTTTTGTTTTTGCTTTTTGAGACAGGGTCTTGCTATATAGCCCAGGCTGGCCTGGAACTTGCTATGTCCTAGTTTAACCTTAAACTTCTTTTTTTTTTTTTTTCATTTTTCTTTTATTATTCATATGTGCATACAAGGCTTGGTTCATTTCTCCCCCCTGCCCCCACCCCCTCCCTTACCACCCACTCCACCCCCTCCCGCTCCCCCCCCTCAATACCCAGCAGAAACTATTTTGCCCTTATCTCTAATTTTGTTGTAGAGAGAGTATAAGCAATAATAGGAAGGAACAAGGGGTTTTGCTGGTTGAGATTAACCTTAAACTTCTGATCATCTTGCTTTTTGCCTCCCAAGTGCTGGGAATACAGGTGTGCACCATGCCCAGCCTCCAGGAATTTTTCTCCCTTGAGGAAAGAGTCTCACTATGTTGCTCAGGCTAATCTTAAACTCATGGGCTCAAGCCATCCTCCTTCCTCAGCTTCCTGAATAGCTGGGATTATACACAGGCACCACTACATCTGCCCTTGGCATCAATTTTAATAGGAACTTTTTTTCTCTTTCTTCCCACCCATACTGGTACCACTGGTACTTAGGAAATCTACTAAAGACAACAAAGTCAATACAGCCAAGGCATTGATAGTGAGAACAGGCACAGGAAGAATTATCGCTGCCTTCTGTTTAAAGTAACCAAGGCTGTAGTCACAAAATCATAGCAATGAATGGGCATGAAAGAATATAGTGTTGTTCCTGGGTTTCAAAGGAATGAATTTGGCTGCTATTATACAATGTACAATTTATATACAATGACTGAGAATAAAATTTTATTAGTCTAGGATATTTGTATAAACCAGTTTCTGCATTAACCTGAAATGGCTGAAGTGAAGATGCTACTTATCAGTTAGGACCCGATGTCTTCTTTCCTCCATTACCCTGCCAGACCACCAGACCCTCTGATAAACAGCAGGGTCAAACTGGAATGAGCTAGACGGGGAATTTTTTTTCCCCAAGAACTATTATAACCTACACAATCTTTCTTTAGGGTCATCTCTAAGGTTGTGGGTGAAGGCCCAGGTGAGGCTCTGTCTTACCCCATCCTTAGGAAGCTGAGTAATACCTAATCATTAGTAATGAGTACCAATAATAGAATAGCACACACCCAGAAAAAAGGACCTGACTCCTTGCTGAACTGCCATTTGTTCACACAGTTCTATAAAATGGTCATTTCTTAGGGCCATCTGGCTAGCTAGCTTAGCTAAATATGTTGGCACTCTTTTGTAGGTTTCATTCAAAGGTCAAAGCTGGAGTTCCCATATAGTCATCTTTCTTTGGTTTAGAAGGGATGCTAGAGAGGTGGGAAAGGCTATAAATTACCTTATCAATTCTTTTATAGACCTGAGAAAAGAAAAGAAAAGTAGGCTATTTCACAGAATCCAGCATTAGTAACTCACTCACTACCTCAGGGGACCCCAGGATCTAAGCAACTCAGAGAAAACATCTTGCTCAGAATCTTAACAAAGACCTTTCTAAAATGTCATGCAGCAAAGTGACCTCCTCAGAGAAGAAAGTGAGCAAAGCAGAAGGTCCTAGTTTTAATTTCTTCTGCTTATTCTCCTCTTTTCACAACTTTCAACCAGGTGTCTATCCCCTTAAGCCTCTCAAGGGTCAGAACAACACTCATTTCTGGCCAGCTTCAGTCACTTCTTTCTTGCCAGTGTCACTGGTTTCACAAATTTCTCCAAGAATGACTGTGCTTTCAAGTTAAAAGATAAAAGCAATATGGTCAAGATTTCTTGATGCCTTCATCTAACAGCAACATATCAACCATGCTGGGCAGTTGTCCTCAGTGGCACATGTGGCTATAGAAGAGGGCACTTAAGTATCTTGTACTGCCTGGGTACCAGTGGCTCACGCCTATAATCCTAACTACTCAGGAGGCAGAGATCAGGAAGATCATGGTTCAAAGCCAGCCCAGGCAAATAGTTCTGTGAGACTTTATCTCGAAAACCCTGCACAAAAATAGGGCTGGTGGAGTGGCTCAAGGTGATAGCCATGAGTTCAAGCCCCAGT